AAAATAATCCATTTTGGTTTCAAAATACACTCAAAAACATGAAAAAAAAAAACGCTTTTTGCCTGGTAGTTATTATCATACTGACCTGACCATCCACTCATTTCAAGGTATCAAACTGATCTGGCAATCCTATAATCTAAAGTTGAATTTGCTGGTTAAACCGATTTACGGAAGGTCGCTTCATCAGAAAGTCAAAATTACATCACCCCTCCCCCACTCTCTTTCTCTCTCTCTCTCTCTCTCTCTGTAATAGTGACTCCAGGGCCATGGGTGACTTACTAGCAAATTCTGCTCACGTCACTGCACAATGAATGAGCTATTGATTTTTGCAGATTTTTTTCTCTACTTTCTTGAATTGCATCACTAGTTTACTGTCTCACTGCACTGTATCTCAGGTTTACTGTCTCACTGCACTGTATCTCAGGTTTACTGTCTCACAGCACTGTATCTCAGGTTTACAATGTTTCACACCACTGTATCTTGCATTTAGAGTGTCTCACACCACTGTATCTCAGGTTTACAGTGCCTCACAACACTGCATCACGGGTTTACACTGCCTCTCAACACTGCATCACGGGTTTACACTGCCTCTCAACACTTCATCACGGGTTTACAATGCCTCTCAACACTGCATGACACGTCCACACTCTCTCACGGATTTTGAAGTTGGAATGTTTGTGTGTGGATGTTGTCCATATGATAAGAACCATTAATATTATGATCAAGTGAGAGGCGGATGCCTTGGCACGAACACAAACAAATGGGGAAGAGACGGGGGAGGTTGAAGAGGGATGTTTAAAAGGGATGAAGTCAAGTATACTTGATGGTACCAGAGCTTTAGAGGCATCATAGTGAACCAAGTGAGAAAATTATTATTATTATATTATTATTATTATTATTATTATTATTATTATTACTGATGTGTTTTATATAAGCATTAATCATAAAAAAATTAGCATTGCTAACACTGAAATTTCTATTTTTTTTGGAGGAGTAAAAGACTATTTTATTATCAGTATTTCGTAATAGTATTTTTTTTAATCATTATTACTCTTCGCTAATTATTTTGTTTTCTCTCCCTTTCTGTCACTTTCTCTGTTCCATGTTCACCCTGCGTGTTCTGTGTTCAGCAACAACTTGTTCAGTACGTGTGTTCCTACAGTTCTGTCTATGTCAGTCCAGGAATATTTGTCGAATTTTCTTTATATTATCTCTTAAGTTTTAATATTTTTGAGAATGCTCAATCGATATTTGTGTATCAAATACATTTTTTTCTGAAGTTTTTGGGGGCCAAATTTTATTTATTTTTTTGTCTTTGTCTATTCAGTTTGGCGATTTGATTAACATTTTTTTAAGGTGACTAGATTTTAAATTGACGTAACTACAATTTTTCCCATAAAACAATGTCTAAATTTTAGACATCGTCTTGTGGAAAGGATACTTGTTTTTCCGTCCTCAGGTTATTTCGACTTTATTTGCTTACCCTTTTCCGTATTTTTCTTCACTTGATGTTCATATTTTGAGAGGATGTGGTACACATCCTTCATATTTTCTCAACTCTGGAGGTTTTCTCATCAACTTTTTCCTCTGCTGTGTATTTCTGCATGTTAGTTTATGTTAGTTTTAAAGGTCTTATCTTTTTTTGTATTTACCTGTACTTCGTTAACTGTAATCTGTAATTCTGGTGAAAAGTTTGGTTTTGCTGTCTAATCAGTTAGAATATTTTGCTCCTCATATTTATGCTGTGGATGGTAGTGCAAGAACATATCCATCATGTCGACGGTAGCGAAAGAATATATCCATTCTGTGGACGATAATGTAAGAACATGTGGACACATATGGGTATATGACTTTGCTAATTCCTTAGGGATCATCCAACTCCTTGCGCATTTGGGAATGGTTAACCAGGGTTAATAAAACGAGAGGGATCATAGCTCCATATTCCCTGGTTCATCGAGTCCTTAGCCAGTATCAGGGCATCCGTATTTACCAGGTTGGGGTCCAGGAGCTAAGGCTCAGCTACAGCACTGAGTAACACTTTTCTACCTTCCCCTCAGGCTACATCCCAGGTCTCATGTTCCGCTACGGCATGACATTCGGGAAGGCAGCAGAAGAAAGCATCAGTCTGTACATCCGTCAGCAGGCGGAGCGTCGCAGCAGAGAGGAGGTGAGACACAGCACAGAGATGGGGGCACAGCTGAGGTACAGCTGAGGCAGGTGAGCCTCCAAATGCCCCTCCCCTTTCCGTGGTATAATGTCAAACACAAACAAGACAGTGAGATATAAATGCAGTATAAGACAACGTTTCTCCCTAGTAGCGAGTCTTAGCAAGTCAGGAAGGTAGAGAGCGCAATTATACTTTAGTCACACCAAATGATCTATTATAGAATGACTAAGGACCCAGGACCGAAACGTATCCAGTTAAAATGATAAATAGAGAAATACTCATACAATTAATTTTGTCTCATTTATCTTATTTCTTACTCTCCTACTATAAGTATGGTAAATCTTAAGGGAATTACTCACTTACTGCCCTCTGTTGTTTTTGTTTACCCAGGTTCAGTGCGTTTATTAGTATCTATGATGAACAATGTATTTTGAACAAATCTCTGGCAATTTTTGCTGTTTACATCTATCGCACTGTAACATTTATGTTTCACACACACACACCTCTATCTTCTATCAGTTAAAGTGTTAGACAAATCAACAATTGCTCCATCGACAGAGTTGGCTAATGCCAACACTCCTGCCTCAGAGAGATGTTCCCCTTTTCTTGCCTACATATCACGTTTGCTATAGAAATTGTCCCAGTTGTCAGTAGATAGGAATACAAGTTATTTACAGTACCTGTCTAGCCAGCAGTTTACACCAATTGCCCTGGACATCCAATCGTTGCCCCTCCTCTTCTAAGCAATATGCTACAATATATTTTACCTTTAAATTACCGATCACAAGAATATTCCCACCTATATTAACAGAGACGTTAGTCACACATTTATCCTCGCTGACCATTGAAGTTCATTTGTCCTGGAGAACAGAGAGGCTCTTCTAACATTCTTCACTTTGAGAAATAGATCTTCCTCCTCCTTCAGCACCTTGAATTCCGACACTTAAGACACTACAGAAGCAGGGTAGGGTGCTCAGTAGCACTCCACACTAATCCCCTAAAGCAGGTCAAGACAGGTAAGACCTGTCGTTTCCGCAGACCTCAGAGAACTGATCTCTGACCATGTTGTTTACATGACAGGTGAAGCGCTCCCGCTCGCTGCCCAGAGTCAGAGCCAAGAGAACAGACTCACAGGTCATAGAGGACTTCTATAATAAGTATGGACTCGGTGAGTACTGCATGTTGTTAGTCGTAAATAAGTAGTGGATGACTGTGGGTCAGTCCGAGCAAGGAGTGTTGCAGACTCGATTTTACGTCAGCCAAACACGGATGATTGTATGAACTAGATATTTAACATTGTAATAATTAACTATTAAATATTGTAACACTTGCTGCCTGAACTGCATGAGATGCCATGATGAAGTACGAAAAGGGAACACACACACACACACACACACACACACACACACACACACACACACACACACACACACACACACACACTGGGAGCAAACTTCTCAGTTTCAATAGAAATATGCAGAATTTCCGAACTATTCTACCAATAAATTATTTAGTTTTCACTTTTGTTCTCATACCCAACAACAGCAGCAGCAGCTCTACACAAGTTAATAAAATAACCGTATGATCGTATGTGTGTCTAGGTGGGGATGATCCAGGTATTCCTGTTATTGTACTCCCTATTGTATTTTTTGTCTATATATTTTGTCTTTATAGAAAGTCTACATAGAATAGAGAATATAATGGGTGGTAGGAGAAGACAATATTCAAACAGCTTCAGGGAGAACCATGAGCATTCCCTGAAGTAAGCTTATTCTTTTCTCTGAGGCTGAGGATCCCCAGTACAGTTCCAGAGGTGGCACCACCTATCTATCTATCTATCTATCTATATCTATCTATCTATCTATCTATCTATCTATCTATCTATCTATATATATATATATATATATTATATATATATATATATATATATATATATATATATATATATATATATAGATAGATACATGTATATATATACACTTAGAAATTTCAGACTAGTAAGAAACAGAAAATTGAAATCCATGGTGAACGTGAACATTTATTTTCTAATCATCATTAGTGTTAAAAACAATGAGAACAATTACCAAGCAGCATTGCTGCTCTATATCAGAAGCAAAAACATTTTATTTCGGCAAAATTGTTTCATCTGAAAGTGTTAGCAATATACACAAAATAAACTAACATAGTTATATACTCAGTGGTGGAATATATCGCTGTGTGAACTTAATGGAGGTGCTAGAGCTGTGTAGTTGACGTCTTATTTTAAAGTTACACAGAGACACAGGAGATACAGGAGACACAGGAGACACATGACGGTGACATAGTGACGCAAAAGCTGTTATACAAACATTTAATGATGTACAGCCATTGTGAGTAAACGGTGACATGTTGACGCAGACGCAGTACAGATGAGAGACAAATCTACAACCAACCTCTCGGGTTTGCTTTAGGTTATATCATGAAGAAAAGGTGAAGTGGTGAAGGAAGAGGCGACCTCCCGTCCATAGGAAATCACTAACTGATGTCACTGGAGAGAAATGCAATACCGACCCAGAATATCTTGTTACATGTGTCATCTCACTGCCTCAGTCACCGATAACTCGTCTGAGTGCAAGCCAATACATCATTTCTCTTTCCAATACTTCATTAGTATTAAACTCTTAAGGGAATGCGATAAACCCGCAAGGAGCCATGCAAGGTCTGGGGAATGGGAAGCAGCCAGGCTCTGTCAGAGGAATGGGAGGGTAGCTCAATTCCCTCAGATTCAGAGACCTTTAGCGGCATCTAAGTGCGTCCCTTCTGAGACAGGAGGGAGCTGGGAAGAGGGATCTTCCCAGTTGTTGGGTTTTATGTCGATTTTTTTTGGAGACCAAAAAAGTAAAGCATTTAAGAGAGAAAATTTAATGTTACGTAAGAAATGTATTTTTTGTTCATACTTATAAATCAGTTGTTTTGGAAATATATTTAAATGTGTGTGTGTGTGTGTGTGTGTGTGTGTGTGTGTGTGTGTGTGTGTGTGTGTGTGTGTGTGTGTGTGTGTGTGTGTGTGTGTGTGTACTCACCTATTTGTACTCACCTATTTGTGGTTGCAGGGGTCGAGTCCTAGCTCCTGGCCCCGCCTCTTCACCGGTTGCTACTAGGCCCTCTCTCTCCCCGCTCCATGAGCTTTATCAAACCTCGTCTTAAAACTGTGTATGGTTCCTGCCTCCACTACGTCATTTTCTAGGCTATTCCACTGCCTTACAACTCTATGACTGAAGAAATACTTCCTAATATCTCTCTGACTCATTTGTGTCTTCAACTTCCAATTGTGGCCTCTTGTTTCTGTGTCCCTTCCCTGAAACATTCTGTCTTTGTCCACCTTGTCTATTCCACGCAGTATTTTATATGTCGTTATCATGTCTCCCCTGACCCTCCTGTCCTCCAGTGTGTGTGTGTTTCTGATATTGACCTTTGTGTTGTCTATAACTCTTATATCGAATCATCTGTTTCTTTCAGATGGTCGAAGCAACCCCAACTACCCTCCACTTCCAGGCTACACTGGTTACATCCCCAAGATGAAGCCCACTGACTTGGGCATCGGTAGAACCTTCAGCGCCGCCGCCAGGAGAGGTCTAGCTCAGGTGACCGTAGCTAGAGAGCAACGGGAGGTGTTGAACCCGCAGCTACATGTGGCTCTCCCCACCAAGCACCATACTACAGCACCCTCCTAGTCCCCAGGGGGAAGGAAAAACCTCCTTCAAGCCTCCACACGACAACACCGCGTTCTCAACACGCCCATCACGCCCACACGAATCAGCAGACAACACGCCCACACGCTGCTCCCCATCCCTTTGTATAAGGGACACCACCTCACGCCATACTGAAGACCCGTTCAGAGTCTGGCACAGCGAGTCACCACGCCACACATGTCTTCGTTTGCTGGAGTCTTTCATCGTATTAATGCATGAAGAGCAAGAGCTCAGCTTACTGCCAAAGCCACTGATTGTCTTATATTCTAAGCACACACAAATACATGTCATACTTCTTTTCTCTTCACTGCATCAGTGTTACTGCAACACACAACTGCTGCGCTGCTCCCGTGAATATATCGTAAGTTTCGTTTTTCTTGATCTTCCGAAGGACCAGTCGATCGTTGTGTCACTTATATCGTTACTCATAAGTCAGGAAGAAACTCGATGACTTCACCGTTGATAATAATCTCTTATCTGGGATATTTTGTAATACTGATCATTGATTTAGAAAACCTGTCGTGCGTACCTCTGAGCAGTATTAGGCGAGAATTTACCTCATTCAGCTATGCATGCTAACCTCTTTTCCTGCTATTTCTCATTCTACACGCTGAAGTTCAAGTGTTGTAATGCATATATACGTTCATGTTCACGTTTATTCATAGCATTTTCACTCAAAAACTACATAGTCGAACTCAAACAATAACTGCCATTTCTTGAAACACTGCGCTTTTCTAATAGCTTAGAAAATATGAAGCTAATATAAGTCAGCCAACCACAAGAAAACTAATGTGGCGCATAAATGCAGAGCATCATAGAAGCAGATTTAAGCACAAAATTGACAAGACTGTTCGGTGGTTCCTGCCAGGTAGTCAGCTAGTTGGCTATATCTACAAGAGTCTAGAAACTAGAAAAACTCAAATCAACAAATGACATTTTAATGGAGGATAACAGTGATTAATTATGTGTTTTTTTTTTTAGTGTTCCGTTAGAGAAATACTCAGCACGTTCAAGAGGAGAAAAAATATATACTTGTAACCAGGGCATGTTTGAAATTTTAGGCTTATGTGGTGTGTGGTGATTTTGTCAGTACTTCGAGTGTGTGTGTGAGTTTGGTCTACCTCGCAAGAGAGGCACGAGGGATCTCACCTCGTTATTGGAAAGGTACAGACTAATTCAACCCTGTCAGTGGCAGATTTAAAACCATTTATAGCTTCACCGATAAGCTCAAAGCTGAAACAGATTTATCACTAACAATTTGATGCCTGACAGCGTGGAAACACTGTTGAATACAAAGCTTGATTCATTCATTTCATTGTTAACTTGACAACGGGTGTATCTTTGTCACTGACAAGCTGAAGACTTGGTCAGAGCTTAACATGGCTAAGTGCAAGTCTGATCCAATTGTGTCGCTGGTGCTATTGAAGCAGTTCCCCGCCTCTGGTCCAAGAAGCCTCACACACGTCTCCAAAGTATCAAGGTTTAAAGCACTTGTTAATAACAGTCACTCAGAAGGTTATATTTCATTAGGGTAGACGAAATTACTGTTTGAATTTTGTTATTAGTTTTAAGTCACCTGTCCTGAAGCTGTTGATTTTACAAGCCACGTTTATGAGTATATATATATATATATATATATTTTATATATATATATATATATATATATATATATATATATATATAATATATATATATATATATATATATATGCTGAAGCGAAATCTAAAGCTTTATTTAAGTGGTTATATAAGGAATAAGAAACTTATAAGTTTGCTAATGATGCTGAAGTTATCCTTTATAAAGACGTCCAAACATCTCAGAAACTGTGGTTAATGTTTATTTTGGAAGACAACATCCCCTTGTGTCCCCCATTATCAGTGTTGTTCTTCTCTTTGTTACTCTTTATCACGCATTTGCCACCCTTTGCCATCCCTATCCATTCTTCTCCCACTACGCGCTCGTACTAAGATGCCCACCAACTTCGGCACTTGGATCTGTTGTATTTCCTCACAGCTGCACACAATACTTCCGTCTTTCAAAGTGATTTTACGTTACACGTAATTCTGACTACCAATTTTATGTTACACGTAACTGTAATTTCCAATTATTGCTTGAAATTCCTGTGGCTTTACTGGTACTCATTGTAGGGAATATCTTGTTTCTTAGGCACGATAGGCTGTGTCATTATTTCCTGCTAGTGATACCGAGTGCCTTCCCTCATCCTGCTATGCCGTGTTGGCACCCGTGTTAGCCCTCCGTGGCATCAGTGACAATACTTGGGGGAACCCCCGCTGCTCGGGCTGCCATCCCCTCCCTCCAATACGGCTTGCAAATGCTGGCTTATTATTCTCTTCCTGCCGTGCTTATTTCCTGCCATAACAGAAATATTATTATTGTATTTCATGGGGAAGCCCCAGGGGAATGCGAGATTCAATGCGAGGAAGAGGAGATTAGCTCCAGTTCTTCGGATCAAGGGCCCCTCTACGGGCATCAACGCATTCCCTCCTTGAAGGATGCCATATTAGAATTTTAAATTTGCGTGCGTGAGTGCGTGCTTGTGTGTGTGTGTGTGTGTGTGTGTGTGTGTGTGTGTATGTGTGTGTGTGTGTGTGTGTGTGTGCTTGTGTGTGTGTGTGTGTGTGCATGTGCGTGTGTGTGTTTATTCAAGATACATCATGTATATTGAGACGCTATAATAGCTTACAGTATGTATTAATTTTAAGTGGCTAGAGACTATGGGCAAAATGTCAGTAGACTGTGTCCTGTGCAAGCTTCCATATCAGTCTGCAGATTAAAAGCAAAACTCTCGTGTCTACTCAGATACAAAACAAAAGCTCTTAGGATTTAGAAAGCTTCTTCCGGCATTTAAAATCGCTATTGTAAGTAACTCAAGTCTTCGTCCCTAGTTAGCGAATAAAAAAACTATATATATATATATACATATATGAGCTGGAAAAGGGAATAACAAATTTTCTTCTCCATAGAAGATAATGAGAATAAAACTAAACAGTAATTGCCAATAGAATTTAATTAATCTATGCAGTGTTCTCACTACCTCTTCATCGCCGCGGCTCAGTCGCTGTGTATGTCATATCGTTTATACTCGTCTTATAATTACGTACTATTAACATTTGGGAATCGTCAAGCCCACAAGGGCTGTCCAGCTCATGGGGGAATGGGACAAATTCGGGTTTGATTTCAAGAACGAGAGGTTAGCAGCTCCAGTTCTTCCGATCAAGAACTTCATCAAAGAACGAGAGGCTAGTAGCTCCAGTTCTTCCGATCAACGACTTCATCAAAGAGCGAGAGGCTAGTAGCTCCAGTTCTTCCGATCAAGAACTTCATCAAAGAGCGAGAGGCTAGTAGCTCCAGTTCTTCCGATCAAGAACTTCATCAAAGAGCGAGAGGCTAGTAGCTCCAGTTCTTCCGATCAAGAACTTTATCAAAGCACCCTCCCTGGGAGAGCGAAGCACTCCCCCGGGATTAAGAAATACTCGAACCCAAGTGGCGTGAAGACCATCTTACTTCATCCGTCACTGCAGTAAGGTGAGATCTTCAAAGGAAAATAAAAAAAAAGTGATCTATGGAATCTTCTAGTGTTTGTTCCTGCAAATACTAGTTAAGAGGCCCTTCTAGTAGAGTTCTGCTAGTTAGAGAGCCTTTTGCTAGTTACGTTTTAGGTAGATTTAATGATAAGAGAGTTAATGAAATTTTAGCTTAATTACAATAGGACAATCATAAACCTTCTTTAATATATATATAAAATTTAATTTAATATATATTATATATTATATTATATATATATATATATAATTATATATTATATATATATATATATATTATTTTTATATATATATATATATATATTGGATTGATATAACTAAAGACATGTGTTACCATACTAAAGTTGAATGGTTAATTGTCTTGAAAAATCAGTCGACTATACGAAGGATCATTTAGGCAGAATTAACCTGTTTACCATCAGACAAGACTACTTCAGTCCTGAAATAAAAATTAAAGTAAACTCTTGGTATATATACACAGAGAAACATACACAACCGCTCGGTGTATAGAAGCTTATTTTATGGTGGTACATTAATTTCCACTTATACTATCCTCACTGTATGACAAAAGTCCTTTCACACACACACATACACACAACATATTATATATTAATATATATATATATAATATAATTTTATATATATATATATATATATATATATATATATATATATATATATATATATATATATATATATATATATATATATATATATATATATATATATATTATATATTATATACATTTATAAAGGCTTTTAACTATTTAACTATCTAGTGTATTTTAGTGTTCCAGATATACTTCAGAAATTATTATCATGCTTCATGCAATAATGTTTCCTGTGATATTATCTTTCCATTTTTACTTATAGCGATGAATATGTCACGATTGTTGTACAGATTATGTTATTTTCAGATAAATACTGTGTCACTTATCGTTTGCCATACACACAAACATACACGCACACACACAACACCACACACACACACACCACACACACACACACACACACACACACACACACACACACATAATATATATATATATATATATAATATATATATATATATATATATATATATATATATATATATATATATATATACATAAACACAATCCCAAATAAATTATTTTTTTTCACATTTACGACGCCCATTTTAATTTCAAATCGAGCCTCCCCCCGGGAGTACAGGGGTGAAAGGGCGTCAGACAAACCTTAAATTTATTTATTTTTTCGTCAGTTTATAAAAAACTAAGTATATACGGGCAAAACCCTGTATAGATTTTTAGGTAATGAGTTTAAACCCTGTACACGGGGTGTTCTATTTTTCCATTTTTCCCCAGTTAGTGAAGGACCCAAAAACGATTTCCCCTTGCTGGGTGATTTAAAGGGTGGGGTGGTAAGTCCCCATCTAAAATTCCCTTTTAAAACCCTTCATTAAAAATCATTGGGGAATGAAGATTTATCATCCCAAATACAGACTTTCATTTATCCACATTGTAAGATTATAATATTTGACAAATCCCATGATTTTTTTTTCTTTTTTCAAAGGGGCCCGAGGAAGATATAAACCTGAGCGAAAAAAAATTTTAATGTATATACAATGGACCTTGCAGGGGGTTTAGGTAGGAAGAAAAACAAAGAAATTTAAAGACTTTTGAGAGATGTAATTAATGTTGAGAGAAAATTTGAAACCCCTTTTTCCCATTCATGTGAAATTCTCCCCCCCCCCCCCCCAAAAAAAACCCACTAAGCCCATTTTCAAAATACTGAAGCAAATAAAGAGGGATTTTTTTTAACCGAGTGGGGTGAGGTCAGATTTTTAAGACAGGTATTATTTAAATTTGAAAATAAAATCTTTGGTGCCCCGCTGCAAGGGGGGGGACCCACCCGGGTTTGCCCTCACTATACCTCATTTTTGTTTCCCCAAAACCTCCCCCACTAACCCTTCACGTCTCTCTCCCCTCTCCCCTCTTTTCTCCCCCCTCACCCCTCTCCCCTCTCTCCCCCCTCTCTCCTCTCTCCCCTCCCCTCTTCTCTTTTTTCCCCTCTCTCCCCATTTTTCCAAATTTTTTCCTTCTCCCCCTTCTCTCTCCCCACTCTCCCCCTATCATCACACCTACAGGAAAGCTAAAGTTTACCGGGAGGTTACCTGGGGGTTTTTTCCGGGGTTTAAACGCCCCCGCGCCCCGGCCCCCATGACCAGGCCTCCCGAGGGACCCGGGGCCCTGTTTCAACAAAGGCTGTTATTTGCGGGCGGCAGCAGCCCAAACGAACGAGCCACACCCGGGCTAAACCCGGGACTGACTTTGGGTATCTGCCCCAGCTCCGTTTTAAAGGGGCCCAAGCCGGGGGTTTATTGGCAATTCCCCAAGGTTTGATGGGAGGCTTTGAACATTTTGGGGGCCCCGGACACTTATGTTTTTTTCTCTTAGGGGTACCAATGGCGCCCCATTTTTTATTTGGGGGAAATTTTGAAATCGCCTGCCCATTTTTTTATTTTCGAAAGGGAAATTTGATTTCTGTTTGCAGTTTTGGGCCCCATTCCTTCCAAGATTTTCCAAGTGAAGATTATGATATATCTCTCCCTCCTGCTTTCCCAAAACGAGTACAAGTCAAGTCCCTTCCAAACGTTCCCAGTAGTTAAGGTCCCTTGGGAAAAGAACTTTATTTTAAGTGCAGTAAAGGGTCTCTGTACAAAACCCTAGATCTGCGATTTCACCTGATTTTAATTTGGGGATGTTAAAAGTCCCGGGATATTCCACCCAGAGAGAAAAGGTTTTTAAAAAGGAAAACATCATGGGCTTTGGGATCTCCCCGTTTTAAAGTTCTCATTATCCAAACCTATCAATTTTTTTTGCACGGGGCCCATTTGTGGGACTGTTTGGGTCCTTGTAAGTGAGATCCTGGGGCCCCTTAAATACTCCCAGGGCCCTTACAAATTTTTTTTTTCCCCTCTAAACGTATGGCCGGGGTCCAAATAAAATATACTCTGTTCTAGTTTTTATCCCCTTTCCCGTTTTTTTCCCTAACGGA